TTCCAAACAACGGACATGTCAGGAACTCACTCACAGGAGTATTTTCAATATTCATGCGAAGGTTCTGCATTTGTTCCACTGAGCAGAGGATAAGAACCTTACCTTTCTCCAGAATGTCAACGCAGGTGGTAATCCAACCAGTGTGTGCATGATCATTGCGGAAGTGAATGACAAGCCTTTCTTTAACTTTAGATTGTTCTCCATTTGCAAAAGCAAATTTACTTGCAAGAGGCTGTTTGGAGAACCAGATCTGATCACGCTTTGAATGTTGTCGGCACGCTTCAATAAGCCGATCTATGGCAAAGCGGGATCCCATTGCTCTGGTACAACCTGAGTCAAGAACCAAGAATCACATAAGTCGGATGAGAACAAAGATTTACATATTCACAAAGGAGTGCCATGATCATAATTAAGATTAACACGCTTCTCCGTGGTGACGGAATTGAGTGGGCACGTGTGCTGTGACGAATCATCTCACCGGAATCGGTTGCGACACTGTCCTCCACATGACGGATGCTCACAATTGAAAACCTGCTCAAATCTGGAAAAACACTGGCACAACAAAAACAAGAACAGAAACACGAATGCGAAGGTTTCTACAAGTTCGTGTCCGAGATATCGGTACAAGCAAATGGCCGAAAAATAGAACCGGTTGATCTGGTCCGTCTGTCTGTCCTCAGAAACGACTTCAAAATTTTCTAAATGTTTGTCCTCGAGTTCGGTCAGTTCCTCCATAGAAGCATAGTAAGACCAATTGTATCAATCACCTTCGGAGTAACCTGCATCATATTCATAGTAGGATTCACAACCTGACCAGTCATTTGTCCAATAGGTGTCATAGTCATAACGCCAGCTGTCTTCGGCATGCGCAGTTTCTTGTTTTTCGGGGGCTTGTGAGGCACTAAAGATGCAGGTTGGGCTACATTTGCTTGTGGAGGCTGTTGTTGTTGGAACGGTTTTCCTCCCTTGTTCTTTCCATCTCCTTTGCCTTTGCCCTTCCCTGAAGGCATTCCTTTGAAAAAATCCTTTCCTTCCATTCCTTTCTTGCCCTTCTTGCCTCTTCCTTTTTCCCATCAGTAAGCCGTGTCTTGCTAGTCATTTTCCCATGTTGCATAACCTTTTCTTTTTGACCGCGGACGGAAGCCAGGTCTTGATCGTTTCCCTTTCTTTCCGTAACCCTTCGGCCTTCCTTTCTTGAATGATCGGCCGTGAATACGGCGCTTGGAATATGAACCTTTAGCGCCTAGAACCCACAAAACGTTCTCTGTATACAGACCCGTGAAACCTTCTTCTCCGGTCTCCTCGTACATGACCCAGAAACCATGTTCACTTTCTTCGCCTTTCCCCAGGATGTAGAAAGTGGGCCGTTTTCGGTGCGCGATGTTTGGGTCGGCAACACCTATGCGAGAAACGGCCAAAAAAATTATAAGAACAGCTGTTTCACGTGGACATAAGTATATTGAGGCACTGCTATTTGACGGATGTTCATGGACGAGACAAAGCGCTCTCTTTGTTGCTCGTTGAAGTCTGCTTGAACCAAGAAAATCAAGGACATCACAGTGTCTGACAACGGGAAATCTTGAATATGTTGGGCCTTTCTATTTGTTGTGGTTTGTTCCCGAAGGGTTGCCATGGTCTTCATCCACAACATGGATTTAGATGTGGAACAACTCCAAAATGTTTCCTATGAAGGGCCTGACGCATTCGCCGCCGCCAAAACCGGCTCGGCATCAAAACGACTCCTCAGGTTCCACCACAATTTGATGGCCAATCTAGCTGGTTTGAAAATGAAGATGTGATTGATGATTGGCTCGGGCTCACAACATTGGATGCAGACAAGCAGGGACCATCTTTGAAAAATGCCCTCATAGGTTCAATTTTTTTTAAATAAGTGGATGCTCGACAATGCCCTACTCCGAGGTCCGGACCCTGACACCCCCATTCTAAGGACACATTGAGACCCTACCTCGTGAAGGGCGTAGGTAAATCATGCGTTCCCTTGGCGATTCTTGCGCATGTTTCGCACATATCGAGGCCAGAGCGAATTCGTGCACTGGATTGGGCGTTTCGAAATCTCTCAGTTTGACCGACAAGTTGCCTTCGCAAGTCCGATATACGGATCGTGTGCAAAGATCAACTGTTGTACACGTCTCGGAACTTGACGAAGGCACCGGCTCCGCTACCACGTTGAGGCAGCAATCCCCGTATTGAGGGAGCCTTGGATCTACACTAGAACACTTGTGGTCAGCGCGGCGGCAAGCTACACCTTTTTGCTGCGCTATGCAAGCAAGTCTTGAGCCACGGAGTGGCGCAGTGGATACAATGAAGGGAGAGAACATGTCATGTATTACATACAAGGTTTCATGCATGCATTGCGTAGACACGTCCCCAAAAATTGTTTACAGGGGGATCGAACCTAGGCCTGCCAGGAATGGGGGGTCTAACTGGAAAATTTCAAGGTTTCCAATGATCCTGGTGCCTGCCTATTCCTTGCTAAAGCAAGAGCAACTTCAGCTAGCACAGCTAGTTTTCGTGATTTTCACTCAAAAACTGCAATTTGACAATGATTTCGTGCGAGATTTCCCTCAAAAACGACATTTTTCGTGCAAGAGGTCCCGCGAAAAAATGCATTTTGAAATTTTGACAACGAAGTTTTTGTGCGAGGATTCCCTCAAAAACTGACAGCTGAACATGTGAAAACCACACTTTTGTGCAACACATCTTTCAAAGACTGGAGTTGAACTTGCGAAAGCGACGCTGTCGTGCGAGATTTCCTTCGATTTTTTTTCCTCGACGTTGTGAAAAACATTTGTTTGTTCCAGATGTCCTTCAAAACCTGCACGTTGACTTTGTGACAAAGAAGGTTCAAAGGTACAAACGACAGCCTCCGTAACGTTTGTTTTGTGCGACCCGCGCGGCAGTTTTAGGCCAGCACAGGATATTCAGAAACCGTGGTTGGAGTCATTGCAACCCCTAAACCAACTTAGGTTTAGGGGTTCAGTCACGACCGTCCATTCTTATGCGTTTTACCTTACTGCCAAACCCGAATTAATAAACCTTGTTTGAGGATATAAGTTGAATAATTATGGTGGTTCTCCCCGAACATGGCCGGCACCATGAGCGTCCTTAAAACAATTTGATGACAGTTCCAAGCGCAGCAAGCACAAAAACTGTAGATGAAACCTTGAAGCACCTTCATTCCTCCAGTTTTTCACGGGAGGGCCAGTTTTCCACATACGTGTACTTGTTCAATGGGTTTCCTGCACGGGTGATTGTTTTTTGAACAAAAAAAATGAAACGACCTTTGCTGGATGCAATATCTTGTACCCTGTCCCCGCCCATAGGCTGAAACAAGCGGTGAGCCACCTTGCATGAACAAGAGCATTTTCCTTTCAAGGGCGGGCGTTTGTTTGCCTCTTTGAACAAGTTTGTCAGCAAGTCTTGACGGTGATTCACACGGTAGGCGAACACCTGCATACTCTTCGTGCATCAAGTAGCCAAGCAACAAGTACTGTACGTGTGCCAGAGCAAATGAATTTGAAACAGCGTAGCATCAAGCACGTGTGCCAACGCAAAGTTCAAGTAGCCTAGCCTCAAACGTTAGCAAAAAAGAAAAACAAGTAACGTAGCATCAAATATGCCTGCCAGCGGAAATGAACTTCAAGTAGCCTAGCATCAAACCCTTGTGCAATGGCTAATGAACTTCAGATAGCGTAGCGTCAAAATGTGCACCAGGGAAAAATCCGTTTGTTTGTTTCATTTGATTTTATTTTGTTCATTAACAAACCTTGATTCAACCTTGATTGCTTACTGGCACATTTAGGTCGGCATGTCGCCAAAATTGCATTTGCTAAGGGCAAGGCGGCCCCAATGGCGTTGCATGGCGTTGCTTTCTGGCAATGGAGCAGGTTGCGATGCGCGGGTTGGCCGTTCCGGGTAGAAGGTAAAGAGGTAGGACGTCGTGAGGTTGATAGCCAAATAAGAACCCTCTGGTTGGCAGCGCTTTCGTAATCACGTGCGTTTGAAAATGACCGCCCTCATCGTGGAATGTTTGATTTCGAACCCGTGATTTCGTCAAAACATGTCCAACACGCCGCCTCCTTCCACCACGAAAAATACTCAATTAAGGATATCCTGACAGAATACTATACTTCCCCGAGACGAGCCCCACTTCAAGATTGCGGTTTGTTCTGCAAATGTTCGATCGCACTGATTCGAATGATTCTATTTTTTTATCTACGCTTGTGGCGCTGCGGCTAGGTGCGAATACCAGCTGCGCTATTGCCACCAGGCTGTCGCATCGCTAAGCCGTGGCAACTCGTTCCAGAAGTGCAAAATGTCATGCTGAGGTTGATACTCAAGCATGGATGTTAATCGAAGACTGTGCAATTGCATCATTAATTGTTAGAACGGACGGCGAGCTGCTAGTGAGACATGAGTGTCTCACAAAACGCAGCGATTGTACGTGTTGCGCGGTGGCGGACGTCCACGCTCTTGCGTTTGATCTCAACTTCAACCCACTCATTCCTTTTTGGCGGAACCATCGCCTGCAAACTTTAGCCAATAGTTGATGCGGAGCCATGCTCTTGCTGAGTTTCTACATGCTTTGCAAATCACTGCAAGAATCTCAAATGTGAGAAGAACTGAAGAACTGCCAGGAACTCTTGGGTAATGGATGCTCTTGGCGGCAACGAGTTTTTGTGTTTGACTAGGTCGTATTGCAGGAGTTGAAGTCATCACGAGATTTAGCGCATTGGTGAACTTGCTCCGCCAATTCGCCCGTAGCATTTTGTGTTTTCTCTTGTTCGTTTTCGCAGGGTCGCCGTTGCACTACGAGTTCTGAACTGCTCTAGGGTGTTGCGTTCGGTCGACGTCAGCTGCCACCAAACGCAGTGGGTTCGCAGTGTCGTTCTGACCTAGTAATTCTTCGCGCGGAGGAATATCAAAGTCAACCCAACATGCGCTTCGGATTGTGGAGGGACTGCACTGCAAGGGGTCGGTTTTCCGCTCACTGCATTGGTCTTGTTTTTGAATCCTGGTGTGTACGCTCTCGAAAAAAATCACAATTTACCAAGTTCCTGTCAGCAAACATCTTCGCAAACCATCCAGCGCACCAACCAGTGAATCAATGCCCAGCGACAAGCTGGCGTCTACAACTTTGGTTCTTTGTACACATGCAATGGGCCATCTCTCCTGCCCCTGCTGGCCCATCAATCATCCTTGTCCACTGGGATAATATCTACACTAAGGCCTTGAGCTTTCAAGCCCTCACAATAGGCCTCACAGCCAAAATATTCTGCAAGAGATGTCAACGGAAGCAGAACATGAGTAGTAACTGAGTAACACAGTGTATATCAGAGATTATCAGAGTATCAATTTATCTGAGGGTCATGCCTCGGCAGTCTCAAAGGCATAGGTTCCAACAACCGCCACGCCTTCTTTGTGAGCCTTCATCATCACCTCTAGGAAAAAACAGAACATGAACCAAATGCAAAAATGCAACGCTCCGTGTTCTATGCCTGGTAAGCATCCCCCTCTTTGAGCAAGCAAATGGTCATCAAGCACCTCCAGAGATGAGTTCAATGTGAGCCATGCAATGGCAACGTTCGTTCCGACCAACAGAATACGCCTGGCCACGTACTCGCGCTTGTTCAAGGGGTCGTTGTAAAGGACAAGGCGATACTCATCTGCTCTCTTCTGTCGGGTCTCCTGGAAGGAATACTATGAATACTTACATGAGAGAAGTGCTCGGGAAACCAAAAGCACATCTCCACAGAGTCGCCAGAGTCGCTGGTCACCTCCTCCACTTTTGCACCAGGGATTGCGACCGTGGTAGTCACAGGAGGTTCTTTCACCGGCATGTCAACTGCTCGCCTGCCCCCTCTCCATGTGGGGTCGAGCTACCCATCCCAAAAATGATTCATCAATTGGAATATTGGAATCAACCCTTTCAATGTCGCATCAAAAATAGCGAAATGATGCGAAATGTTGTTTTTTTTTGGAGAAAAATAACAGTGGATGGATTTGGAGTCTGTGAAAACTCTTCGCTGCCTCGCTGTTCGGGAAAAAGTTGGCTGCGAGCATGCTGCCAGGAAGGCACTGCCTGGTACAAACTGAGATTGGGAGGAGAAATCTCGCAACATGGCAACTAAGGGGATAAATTTGTGACATACGAACAACATCCAACAATGGTCCAACAATATAGTGTTCGAATTTGATCCGGTCTAAACTTAATCTACGTCAAAATCCATCAATATCTTATTAATATCTTGTAATACACACAGAGGCAAAGCCATGTCATGTCCTGTGTTGTCAAGTTTGATCTGCCAGTTCAATGTGCTCAATACGTTTGCCACTGTCCCACGGTACAGGTATGTTTAGACCACTGAATCCACTGGGCCTGCAAGACATCCTCGCTGTGCCCAATCGTATCTTTTGGAAGATGAGTAATCTCTGTGTGCCTGCAAAATGTGGGTCTGTCTGAAATTGTGGATACCGGCTATTCTAATGTAGTTTTAGTTTAATGGGGAAGTGATGATTAACTGATTGCCTATCAAAGTCTGAGGTGCCATACTTTTAGAAAACCCATTTGAGTCTGAAGAAGTACAAGAAAAAATGTTGAAGCGCTTGAAACAAAAAAGAAAACGACAGATCATTGCGTACATGGTTGAGATAAGTCAAAGTCAAGGTCCATTTCTAAGGCCAAAGTTGAGCCAGTTGGGCCTGGGGATGGCTGGCCTGCACGCCGCCTCAGCTAAAATAGAAGATGTTGGAAATGTATGGTTCCTCGGTTCCTCTCCTCGACATGGTGCTTTTGAATGCTTTGAGACATTGATGTGGGTTTGACTAAAAAGAAGGTACCCAAAAAATTGATGTCTATCTGTCTATGCATCATTTTTCGTACAAAAATTGCCATGAATTGGGGGTATAGACAGAATCAAACACACTCATGTACATTGATTGGCTTTGATTGGTGCCAAACGCCGCCCAAAAACTCTGCCCAAGCTAAAGAAGCTCAGCACCGAGCAGGCACGAGGCACTCGCCCGACGAGAGCAAATGCAGCTGCCATGCTGTCAAGGGCTGCAGAAGGTTTCATTGACTCCACAACTGCCAAAGCCTCCAAACCCTTACCCTCTGGTTATGTCAAAATAGCTATTGAAAATGGCCCATTTATAGTGGATTTACCCATTAAAAATGGTGATTTTCCATAGTTATGTTAGTTTACCAGAGGGTACCTGTACAAGGCTAAAGGAATGACAAAGCAAACTAAAACAAACTCTCGGAAAGCTTTGTGAAAATGTGGGATCCTCTACATTTGTAGCAAAGACCAGCGATCAGCGGGTCCTTTTCAAACAAATTTCTTTGAAATGTCAAGTGCCAACAGTGGTCAACAGTCTTCCATTTTATGCGTCCATGCAATATACACAGTTTCACTGCAATGCGCCATCTTGCACATGTGGCAGAAAGCTCCTAGAAAGGGACTCAAAAGCTAGCTACAGACTCAGAAAGACAGCTTCGGTAAAGCTGTTAACCGCCCAGGCTTTCTATCCATGAACCCAGCCAACTCTTTGACACAAGGCGCGACTTGGACGCTGCTTCTGCTTGTATGATTGGAAGGATTGCAGCACGTGTCCGTCGCGCAAATTCCATGTAGCCTTCGTCATTGAAATGCACTCCATCTTGAGCAAGACTTGGATTCAAAGATTCCAAATCCACAAGAAAGCGCTCACTCAAGCCCTTCTGCGCAGCATATCCTGCCATGAAATGTCGAATCTGCTGATTGAGTCTCAGGCGGGCAGGATTTCGGCTGGCCAATGGTGGGAGAGTCAAAACACCAACATGGGGGAAGAATGCAGCATTTGCCGCAGTCTCGCAAATGGCCCGAATGTTGTTGATGATGTTTGGAATCTGGTAGTCAAGCTGGTGAGGATGTGAATGCAAGAGGTCATTGGTACCAACCAAGATCAGGACAAAGGCTAAACGACCTCCTTCTGTGAAAGCCGATTGCAGCGCAGAAGGCAAGCGCTTCAAAACGTCTTGCGACGTGTGGCCCCAAACGCCAGAGCTGTGAACTTTCATCTGCAATCCATCCTCATCAAGGAGTCGTTGCAGCTGGGATGGGTATGACCTGAAACCCTTTTTCCCTGCCGTCAAGCTATCTCCAACGCAAAGGATCACATCTTTGCCAGAATTGTTGGCGGGCACGGTTGACGAAAACCCCAGTGAAACCTGAGAACCACTGCTTGCTAGTCTTGGTGAACGCAGCCTTGTAGATTGCATGATGCAAGAGTAGCTTCGGTGAGACGAGTGTCCTAAATGCCCGTGTCTTTCATGCCCATGTCTTTCATTTCTTTCATGTCTCTCTTGCCTTTGGGTGATGGTATACCCAGATCGTTGCGTGTAGTAACCATTCCTTTGAGTGGCGGATCCACCTCGCTGGGTGGGATATCCACTGCGCTGGGTGGGATATCCACTGCGCTGAGGAGGATTTGCACTTCGATGAGTGGCGTAGCTATGGCTAGATGCTTTCACGTTGGCCTCAGAAAGGCAGTCCGGATGCACCCAAAAAAACACGAAATCAGAAGCACTAGGTGACTAGCATACTCATCATACTCACAAGCAACAGTCTGAGATCCTTACGGTAGAACTTGGTGCTACCTTGTACACAGGGTACTGGGCAGAATAGCGGTGGGTAACCACCACTGTCTTCTTCGGCGCTTGCAACATCGCTTCACCCCGGATGTCGCTTGCGGAAGACTACTGAGTTGGAAGCCAAAGTAGAACCCCTGGAGGTGAGATGTATGATGTTGTGACAGATGTATATCAGTGTGCTGCCAATTCGGTACTGTCCTCTTTCGTTTTGGATTCGTACGATTCGTAGATGTTTTGGTCAACATTGAGTGTTCACCTATCAAAAGCTGTTGTGCTGTCGGTGACCAAATGCACCGTTACACTTGGTGTCCTGTCCAGCCCTTGGCTGCATACGTGCCAATGCAGAATCGTCATGATTTCCCTCGCTGGATAATGTCATTGCTTTCAAGGAATGGCAAAACTTTGGCTTTGCACCCTCATCGCACCATCGTTTATCAAGCAATTCACTGCACTCAAAGCCTAGCACATTGTGGAGGGGTCATTCTTAGCCCTTCCACAGCTGTTGTATCTTTAGAAATTGGTTTCTTTTTGAAACCAACAAGATTTGTCTCAAACCAAAGCAAATTGTATCAAAGTATGCTGTGGAAAGAATTTGACATGATTTGCCTTGACATCACTGAGCCTTTGCGAGAGACACCGAAATACCCTTTTCGAATCAGCCCATGCAAAAGCCTACGGACCTCGGCTCAGTAGCTGAGCTTCCAGCTCCTGGCAGATAGCATGACAGGATCCAAAAATGGAATCTGAGCTCCTTCAGACCGTGAATGGTTTGAAATGGTGCCCCCAAGAAAGATTAGAACAAATGGACCATGAAGTGGTGGATCTTCGAGGGATTCGTAGCTTTGAGATGTACTGAAATAGTCTCGTTCCAAGTGCCTGAACTCGCTGCTCCAAAAGGCTGTTCTGGACCTGACGCTCCTGTCACAGCCACTGGTATCCACTAGCATCCATCAATCCCGCACGACCCATCCACCTTGAAACCTGCGGATGAAGCCCCAAGCCCAAAACCAACACCGGAACCTTGCGGAGTCTTTCCACTTCAGGCAAGAGTTCGGCAATTCGTTCATCCAACTTTGCCCTGGCAGAAAGCTATGTGCGGGCACATCACACCACGCCTTCCATTTCAAACTACATGTCAAACCACACTAACAAACTACACTAGCACGATGAACCACGCTGATGTCAAGCTTTCAGTGAGCCCCAAGTGTGGCAGCTAGACAACTTTGCAAGAGCTGCACCTCTAAAAGATTTGAACACAGAGCGCAATCCGGGGATCACAAGCCGTTTGAAGCGGTTCAATCACAACGTGCCTCTGGCTTGACCAAAACTCGCCTCATGAAATGTCAGTCGACATGTGACACGCACAGCCAGGGTTTCACCAAAAGCAAAAACGCTGAGGCCTCGGAAGCGCGGTCCTCTGTCTCGAACTTCTTGTCCCAGTGAGCCCTTCATTTTGGGAAGTGGCAGACTGTAGGCTCTACGAATGAGATCGAATCAGGCACTTGAATCACTATGAGAAACTGCATGAGAAACTGCATGAGAAACTGCATGACAACAGCATGTAAAAACATGCTACAATCATGCCATGCCTTGACGGAGTTGTATCAAAGCCAAATGCCTAAGTAAATTTGAATTAACCCAGAATACAACCCCAATAGCAAAATTGTGTGTTTCCGTTGACACCAATTTGGTACTGACAGGTGAGCAAGCTTCGTGAAAAAATATGAAAAAAAAGTCCTACAACACCACAAGACACCACTGGAACACCGCAAAGACACGCCACCAAGACACTACGGACACACCACCAAAGTGCCACCAAGACACCAACGACCGCCAAAACACAATTGAGAGACCACCAAGACACCAGCAGCACAGACACCACCAATTCCCGAAAGGACCTGCAAAGGGTTTTTCCAAAAAGTTGCTACCAGCATACTTTGTCATTGTCATCATCATCTGTTTCCATCGCAATCTTCTCGCATCACCATCATCTCGCATCACCATCATCACAGCACCGTCACAACAACAACAACAACAACATCATCATCATCATCATCACAACAACAACAACAACAAGAACCACAACAACAACAACAACAACAACAATATCATCATAATCACTATGGTTTTACTAGTATTATTTCTTGTCATCAACCATGCCCGTATCATCAATAACAATAGTAATAATAATAGTCATCATCATTATCAACATCAACATCAACACCATCATCAATCATAATCATCATCATCATCATCATCATCATCGTCATCGTCATCGTCATCGTCATCGTCATTATCATCATCATCATCATCACCATCATCATCATCATCCTCATCATCATCATCATCATCCTCCTCCTCAGCATCCTCATCCTCATCATCATCCTCATCCTCATCCTGATCATCCTGATCATCATCATCATCATCATCCTCATCCTCATCCTGATCATCCTGATCATCATCATCATCATCATCATCATCATCATCACCATCGTCATCATCATCATCATCATCATCATCATCATCATCGTCATCGTCATCGTTATCGTCATTATCATCATCATCATCATCATCATCATCATCACCATCATCCTCATCATCATCATCATCATCATCATCCTCAGCATCCTCATCCTCATCATCATCCTCATCCTCATCCTGATCATCCTGATCATCATCGTCATCATCATCATCCTCATCATCATCATCATCATCATCACCACTGTTCATTGAAATATCTTTATTTTTGACATACAGCACTACAGTCAGGTTTGCCTGAAATCTGAAAACGACTTGAGGATCCAACAGATTCTGTTGGTCTTTGTACACTTTGCCTTGGTCAAAAGACCAAACTTGCCTAACTTTCACAGCATGCTCCAACGAGGCATCCATCAATGAATTTTTGAACTTCGCGTGGGCTTCAAGCGATCCCACAGCTTCTCCAAAGGTCGGTTCCAGCCCTGGGCAATCCACCAGGGCTAACTCAAAGCTGTTCATCCTTCCACTGGAACTTTTCAGGGGAGGACCACTGCCCAGCATGCTGCGATCTTTCAAGCTTTTGCCAGGGCACAGATGGGATGTTGTTCAGGCTGCTCTACTATCTCTACTTGTCTGTGCAAGTCTAAATGGCAGTGCGTGCAATGCAAGGTCAATCTGATCACTGCTGGCATTTCATCACATTTATGGGAAATAACCTCCAATCACTCCAAACTGACTTCATCGGTGCTAGACCTCCTGTGTGCTAAGGAGACATACGAATAGACTGTTTCTCTGTTGCCAAGCTGCACGGCTCTGACAGCCACTGCGGTTGAATGTCACACAGAGATTTCAATACTTTGCGCATTTCCCTTCCACAATGTTCTACATTCTATATACATATGATGTTTTCTTGTGCCGTTCTCATTGCTGGGATTCCCTAGGTTGAGTTTAAGTTGGACGATGACTTTTGAACACTGGGTCTGTGTCGAAACCGCGGTTACCCTCCACCCTGATGTCATGCGCACCTCCCAGAGGTCAACTGCAGCTTACTTGTCATCGGGTCGCGGGCATCCACACATTCTTTTTGGGACGCTTACAAAAATGTCAACAATGAGAATCTTGGACTTCCAAGCCCTCCATCACCTCTGCTGCAAAAGCATGATGTTTGACAAAATTCAGGCTGCTGCCAAAATCTTAGAGGTCACGGATGGCAAAACTGGGCGCCAAATTTGGAAAACACTAGTTTTATTGGGCACCATGGAAATAATTTCCACGGGCTATAATCCTGTACTGCCTCAAGGCAAATACGTCTCACTCATTGCTTCTGTCAATGCCTGCAGTATCGAACTGGATTTGCACTCTTGAAATCAGAGTTCAATCTTGACATGAGCGCTACAAGCTACAACCAAAGTGTCGAACTCGACCTCGGCAATTCCAACCCAGGTCAGTTTCAGATCTACTTGGTAGAACCAAGCCTGTCTCATGTTCATGAAATCGTTGAGCCTTGGTGCACTTGGTATCACAGCATGGGCACTTCACTCTTCTGCCTATACCGAGACCAAACAAACTAGAAATGTAAAGAGGTCCCAACTAACATCCTTTAACTATCTTTAACTCATATTCAACGGTATTTTCTATAGCAAAAGGCTCTTCTAGCGACACCATCCAAGGCCCCAACTCCATCAAAGGCTCTTTGGCCATGTTCTCGAACGCCTTGTCCACAGCTACCTGGTCCCAGCACGGCAGCGAAGCGTGGATTCGCCCCATTTCGCCCCGGCTCCTGCCTCGTTGACGCGACCAGACCAAACCAACTTGACCATGGCTTTGAGTCGATCACGCTCCACGTCCTGGAGCTGTCAGAATTCAAGAGAATTTATCGATATTTATCAACTATAGCAAAGGATATTGATATATAATATAGCACATGGCATTCAAAGGAAGACATCCAGGTGGTTCTTGGAACTGCCTTCTCACCATTCGAGAGTGCTCGGAAGATGTCTCTCATGCTGTCGGCTGTGCTTCCGCGCTGGCTGATAGCCTGCACTAAACAGGAAAAAGGAACAAGAATTGGAGGTCTTTCACCAACGCCCCGTACCAAATCAACACTTCGAACAACCTGCAACCTCTGTCCAAGTTGGATAGTCTCAGTGCCTGAAGGAAACCAACAGCGCTGCTCGCCAGATCCTGACGGCAAGATAACAAAGAGATGATCGAAACATGCAAATCTGCCGTCATATGCAAAGATTCTATGACAATTAGCCGCCTCCCAAATGTGCCGTGCACCATCTGGCTCTTGCTCAAGGTGGCCTCTGACACAAAGAGCGTGCACCAAGTCGTTTATACAGTCCCTCATCATTTGAGGACATCCTTCCTCATGGGAATCAAAACATGCAATGATAAACCATAAAAGGTTGGTTAAATCCATTCCAAATGGTAGGTTTACTTACTTACTTAGGTTTACCACAGAATATACTGAACCCCATGATTTAATGAAGCTGGAGAGCTGCAGCAAAGTGTATTGCACCTTTCACCGCAGGGCCAATGGACACCGCATCCAGCAAGAAAGAGTCGTGCTGGCAGGTGAAAAGTATCAAAAGCCAACCGCTTCAAACTACAGAATGCATATTTTCAAGTATGCACAGAAGAACCCATGTCACATATCCATACATATCTCAGAATGCTGGAGTCACCCCATAGATGGAGTCCAGCTCGTAGTAGACCACTCCTTTGTTTCCCGCCTCAAGCAGAAACAACCAGTCGAAGCAAACTTTGGGCATGTTTTCTTGCGCCACTCCAGGCAGCACTGAAAAGCCAAGACAATTCGGCAGTCCTTTCGCAAAGTGTCTGCAATCTCTTTCTGCTGCCACACTGGAAAGAGTACCTGTTGACCAGTCAGTCACACTCTGTCGTAGTCTGCATCTGTCGCGTTCATCATCTATACATATCTATCATCTAATTTCGGAAAGGGCTGCAGTGGCTGCATGCTGCAAACCAGAAAGTCTTTCCTTGGACAAAGGAGGAGCACGTCATGCTGAACACCAATGACCAGCGCTGGCATCATAGCGCCTTTGAGGCCCTCCAACAAGCACGGATTTCCATCCTGGCATGGAACTTTCATCAAATCTCAATCCATACAAAAACTGGAAGATTCAGAAAGCACACTGAGAAAAAGGTTATGAAAGCCAAACATTATTTTTGCTTTTTTTTCATTTGCGGCAAGAAATCTCTATTCGCAGCTGATTGATCAACAAATGATACTGAACTTCGCCTTGTCCAGTTTCTCGAGGGAGAAACCATCCATCGCCTTCGCAGGGGTGTGACTACGGTGTGACTACGCTGTGAACCTGTTTTCCGCCTTGGAGATCCACAAGAGTGAGTTGGGATCGTAGGCGTTCACCCATTTCCTGGCGAAAGCCGGGAAGCCTTCGATCGTCGATCTTGCGCAACTTGACAGAGCATGGACTGAGCTGGTTGCTCTCCCTGGTGAGCCAAGTAGTTTTCAATCATGAATTCGTTCTTCAAACCTGAACACACAAATGGTCACAAATTCAGGTTCACCACCGAAACTAAAAGAACCTGCTATCAAACATCTGAAGAACAACAACTCGATTTTCATCCGTTCACTTCAGCGGTGATTTCAACCACAGATACTAGAAGTAAGCACAACTTGTGAGGTCACATGTCCACAATGCCGCAGGCATTCAGGCAAATACAAACTGTAGGTACGACTTCACAACCCTCAAGAGGTGTTTTTTTCCAGCTGTGAAGATGCCTTGTTCCAGCTTCAAAAAATCAGTTCTCCTTTGTCCCGACTCGGGCCCCGACCTTCTCGTTTGGTGATTCCTTTGGCTAGGCTTTGCCCAAAGCGCTGTTGCCACCTAGGATCGATCAGAAAGGCACGGCCTTTCAGCCCTACTAAAAAACACCGCACACCCCTTCGCCCAAACAAGCTGATTATATAATATATATATATATATATACAGATTATAGATCCGATTAGTACGAGGGTGAACATGGTGAACACTTGAACACACTTTTCGAATCTTATTGACCTCTTGGAGTATGGTACAAGTTGACAGCCATACCCAAGCCATACCCAAGCCACACCCAAGCAATGCCGAAGACAAAAATGCGGCACTTGCAGTCTATTTCTCTCTATTTCATTCTATTTCTATGTCTATTTCATTATTGAGCAAAGTAAAATACATGCATGCATGATCTCATACACAAACACATCATGCAAATCTTGAAACAATGCTTCATCATTGCTTCATCCGTTGGGAGACAGGAAAAACATCCCCATCCGACCGTACAAAAACTCCTCAGTCTCTGGCTCAAGCCCGGATCGGTAAGTGATCGTTCCAAGCCTCGCCGGAAGGAGAAAAAGCAGTATGTATATGTGTGTATGTATATATATATATATGTGGTGCCCCTCATTTTCTTATCTCGTCACGTCAGGATTGCAGCAACTTGTTTAGGAAGCTGAAGGGTGCAGATTCAACGAAGCAGCCAAGCATCATTGGATTCTAGCTGCTAGCAGCTAGCCGCAATAAGCTTCAAGACATCTCAAGAGACACCAGAAGGATCACCAACCAGGACCCTGACTGGCGGGCCAGCCGCAGACCATTAGCTGGCAACTGACCATCGTAGTAATCCTAAGTTTGTTGGCAAGTTGCTAGATTGAACTTGATTGAACCAAAAGATCATGAGCAAATCGTTGGCAAGTGCTACCTGAGGGGATGCTGATCGCACCATCAGCGGATGAAACTGAGGCCTAAACTCCTCCTCGCCAGTTGGGATCGGACATGATGGCCTTAACAAGGCGCAAGAAAAGGCAACGCCCTCCAAAATGGGTGATGCAAATCATAGAAATGGTGCTTCCCTGCAAGCAGATTTCCTTCTGACACGAATTCTGTATGAACACTCTCGCAATGACAGTTGTCGGCATCGTTTTCCTCATCATAAATTGGGGTGACCTTCATATTGATGGGACAGGCCGATGTTTCCATTCATCATCTGCAATGGAAATGCTTCGGATGTTTCCATTTAAAGTCAAATGTTGGTGCGGTGGATGGCTGCCGTGTTTCTGTTCCGTGTGCTTCATCGCCAATCTGCCTGACGCTGAGCATGTCGAAAGGCTATGCTGCCTGGAAAGCTCTTGGCACCTAAGTTCCAAATCCAGGATGAAGGCAAACAACATGAGTCAGTTTGCAAATCTGAACATGATTTAGGGATATCTAGGGTCTGTGCAGGCTGAAATTGAGACAAATTTGCCAACCTTAGTCACTTTTCCTAGAGAAATGCAGATGATGAAGGGACACTGGTTTTGTTTCACAAAATTGGGAGCCCATCCACGCCTGAAGTATCAGACTCACCCGCCCACAGTTGATCTGCTCAAATGCAGTCCACAGATTTATTGAACCGGGGTGTGACATTAGCAGTAGCAGTAGATTGCACTTCTCTTCGGAATTCCACCTGAAAGGTCCTGAAAGTGTGAACGACTTGATGTATTGGCAGCCATTGGCACATCAAAATTCTTGAGCTTCTGGCCCTGTCAGGAAACATGGAGGCTGCGCAAACACTCTGCATGCCTTCCAGGAGTTCATGACATCGGCACAAAGGGATCGTCAAGGGAAAACAGTTGCTGCAAGAACTTCAGGCCTCCCAGTGAAGCACCAACCTCAACGCTAACGCCAATGAGTGGTTCAGCACTTGTCTACTAAGAGACTTTGAATAGCCAGTACTCAGTACGTCAAGAGTTGAAGAACACAAAGTTATCAAAGTTTCAGTATCTTATTCAAATGTATTCTGCATCACTAGTCGATAGTGCCGGCATTAGGAGATTGAGCAAAACAATCGTAATTCGACAGCATCTGGCCAGTGCAGACTTCAATTAGCTACTGATGAGACTGGCAGCAACTCGTCACCCGAAGATGATGAAGATGGTTGGCGTGTTGGTGTGGAAGCACCGGAAGCACTGTGATTCTGATCAAGTTCCGGACACAAGCGTGCACTTTGTCGATTCCCAAGTGATCGAGAAGTACAAATTGTGCTGCTACCTGATCTTGCACCTTGGGGTACCAAAGAATCTCTCACAGACTTCCGTTGCAACACATGCTATTGCCTCTACAATGGCTGGTGAGCATTTGAAGATCAAATCATCTTACATGTGTGTAAACCAACTGTTCGTCCAAGCAGCCTCAAACCGAGGAAACGTGCTCCCATACCGGGTCCCCGTGTGGCTGTTGATGGTCGATGGCCCACTGCAGGACATTGAATGATCATTGCTGATTGTGCAACATAAATTGCCAGCCAGGAAAGGAAATGACAAGAGAGAGTTGCAGAGTTCAAAAATGCTAAGACAAGGCCGATACAAAAGATGCAAAAGCTAGTTCCACTTTGAAAGAGCGACAAACAGAAGCGTTCCAAAGCAACCTCGAACCATAACATCCTCCGAGGTTGTTGGTGCAAATGACCTCAGAAACAAGACAAATGAATTGCTGTGCCGGACGGAAAATTTTATCACGACGATCTCACCGAGGCTGAATCGAAAAACAGGTTGGTATCCAGCGGTCTGCCAGGGCCAATGTATTCCTGTGCTGGACATTGGACGCTGTCAAGAACCAGCACTGATTGGAGGAAACAAACAATTATTATTATTACTGGGAACAACTGAATCAGAGACAAACCGACACAGACAGAGTCACGTCAGTCACGTGTTACTGGACAGTCCTCCCACCAGCCGGGTGCTGGATTTCTGGAATGAGAGCAGGCATGGGAAGATGCTGACATGCCACACCTGAGTTAGCAAACAGGTAATCGAGCGAAATGAAAGAACTTGTGTAGCTTATACACTATGTGCACAAATCTACATATACGTATTACACGTATAAAGTTATTTGTATGTAAAATATTTTATATTTTTCTCGACGCACATACAGACTGTTGACAGTCGCGGCGGAGCACAAATGAATTCACTTCCGGACGACCATAATGTACAAAGTCCGGTCCCACATGGTCTCCGTGCTCGGTCACGTTCAACTTCGCACAAACCTCCTGAAAATGCACTGGCAACTGTGCTGTGTCATTCGCTGGAGCTGTACATGTGGCATTCCAGGTGACCTCAGCCAGCGCGGTGCAGAGCGCCGGAGGATACTCTTTGAGATGTGCTGTTTGGAACTGACCGCGGCAGTCTTTGCCGATAGAAATGCCCTTGGGGTTGTCGGCCGTGATTTGCCACTTCCGCATAATTTGAATTAAATTGGGGGAATTCGCAGCCAACAGAGTCGTTGGCTTACGACTGGACGCCCCATGCAAAACCCTGGGCAAACTCAACCTTCTGTACATTTGGCATGTTGAGCAGCATGCAAATGATTGGAAGTTCCCAAATCGAAGGCGCATCATCGGCTTCCGGCTCAGCTGGGTGTTCAAGTAGACCTTGTCTGCCCATGATCGCCAGCACAAAAATGGCTTCAATGCAAAAGCTGAGCAGCTGAGCAGAATGCTCAGCTCCCTTCCAGCACAGCATCAAGCTCACGCAAAGCCAAAGACGCAAGGCCCCACAATTCCGCAGCAGTTCGCACTGGGCGCGGAGCTCGACAACGGTGTTCCTGATGTAGTGCAACTGAACGAGGCTTCGAAAACGTGCAACATGGCGACCCCCCAAGGAAGCCGTGAACATGGCCCTGCATGATATGTGAAAGCCAGAAGTTGCGTGTGTCGAGATCTGCCAAATCTCCATACTTCTTGTTGATCACAATATCTCATGAGACCACATACAGAGTGAGACCATCCGGTGCCCCCTGCATCATGCGCTCCAGGTACCATTGGTAATCCCCTGGTCTCCTTCTCCCACTGAAAGCATGAAGGATAACCCTTTCTTATTCTTTGCCTATTGGGCCAGGCACGAAGGAAGGCTCCCAAACGTCGCAATCCTTGCTCACTAACTGACGGCACCACTCCTCGTGACCCAGCGGATCAGGGATCTAGCGCAGAGGTTTGTTCTTATGGCGGAGGAATGGCCATGTGTCAGGATCTTTGAGCTCCAAAAGGGCTCTACGCCCTACGCATATCTTGGACAGGGAACCCGATGTCCTCGGCGATCTCCTCGGTGTAGCGCTCCTCAAAGAAGCCCAAGGTGGCACTGAAATCCGACCATGACAGCATCATACGTCCAACCTCTTCTCGAAGCGCCACCTCAAATGCAGTCGGGTTTGCCTCCCGTGCTGCAACGTCCATGATGAGGGCTATGAGTGCGCCATGCTCTCGATCTTGTCCACGTCGAAAGCCAGGCTCACGTAGAGGTCCTTGTGCTTGAAGATGTGGAAGTAGCCCATCGTGGAGCCGCTGCTGTTCCCGGCAGGCACCAGACCCAATGCCTGGGACAGGCCCCTTGCAGTTGCTCGCAACAAGCCGTAGCATGCTGTAAGTGCATATGTACTCGTGCAACAGTATGGTGTTCGCGAAGGCAGGCAGGGCACTGGGTCGCGTCAAACGAGAAGCGAACAGAGTTGATCACCCCGCGCACTTTGAAGAAGTGCGCTCCTTCGCCAGCCTTGTTAACACATCTGACCCCACATTGCAGGCACCCAAAGAAATCCTCGTCAGGGAAGGGCTGTACGTAGTGCGGTTCCGGAGTAACCAAGGTGCCATGCTGTCCAAGAAGGTGAAAGACCTGTCGATGGGAGTCCGCCAACCAGGTGGCGTTTTTGCGTTGCCGGATGGCGTGGGTAATGCTTCGCGCGACCAATCTCTTCCAATATCCATGATGGTAGCGGAGCAAGTACTCCCATGCCGGGAAGTGCTGTTGAGTGTCTTGTAGTGCATTGCAGTGATGAAGCTGCTCCAAAGCCAATGGAGGTCATCTCGGATGAGATCTCTCCAAGGCTGATCATAGTAGTAGCCCTCACTCTGCGGCCTCTCCACATTGATACAAGGTTCCCAAATAGCGAAGACGAGCTCAGCGAAGCAGCTCTGTAGGAGAGGGCAGTTCTGCTCGGGCAAGAACTTGATCATCGGTGACCGCAGCGTCATGGGGCACACGAAGGAAGCGCTTGTAGAGGCGAATGACGCCATTGTCCATTGCGCAGCATGTTCTTGGTCTTTTGGTCGAAGAAATGCCAGGATTCCATCCCATACGTAAATGCGCTCAAAACCAAAGACTCAAAGAGTTCCCTTCGTCGAGGAAAGGCAATGGTAGGATTATGCAGGAGGAGCTTACGATGGCATGAAAGGGCTTGATGCGCTATCACCAGACGTTGCTGTGCCTCCTTGCCTTGACTGACAGAATTGTGGATGATGCCCCAAAGGTGCTTGTAGGCACCCACCACATGCACTTTGAAGCTGGCATGCTCACCAAAAGCAAAGAAATGTGTGTATATATATATACGTATATATAACATTATGTAACGATATCCAGTAAATACAGTATATGAACCTTGCTTTCATGATGCTCGCAACTCATGTGTTGGATGACAATCAACAAGCGCACAGGTGGGTGCTGACGCTTCGAATCAAAACTTCGAACCAAAATCAACAATGAGCAAACATTCAATTCACAGACACCTGAGTTGACGTGTACATTTACACTCATCACATCTATCAAGCAAAGCCCTATCCCTACGGGAAAATGACCTTGTTCAGGTATGATGTGCTCTTGAGCTGAGGCTACTGCTGCAAGAGGATGACATTGTCTCGCTTTGCATTCTGCGCGACAAAAGCTCCACATGTCACTTTTTTGCATTGACATTTTTCCAATTGTCAGTCTATTCAAATCGGCACGACACATACTGATGTTCCAGCACGGCTTTGCAATTTGCAAATGGAAATCTGAACAAGAGTTTAAACAATAAAAAAATGCAAGAACAAGGTGACACTGCTACAATGCATACTGTGAAGCAAGACTTAACGGATCACCCCGGCGTACCAGGTGACCCCAGGTTTCGTAGGCAATTTGCAACCTGACCAATGCATGAAACAGAACTGATAACGGCCGTAACTGAAACGCGCTGCATAAGCTGGGATGCGCTGGTGCCAAGGCAGCCAGAATGAGTTCCACACTCTGGAATTTGTTCACCATTTCTGAAAGTGAAAGGGGCACTTCTGTGGAACAAATGATACCTTGACAAGCAGTTGCTCATGACAAGTGCATCTGTCACAATATCAAGTATATGAAGGCATCATAAAGGTGATCGTTTGACAAGTGCAACCTTGCAAAGTTTCTGCAAACTCAGGCCAGAACCCCTCAAAATTGCCGCCAGTGTGGTACTCGCAGAGTTTCAGAGTTCAGATTGCGTTCCAAAATTGGCAAAATTTGGAATGTTTGCTGAATTGTTTTTCTATTTTTATGCCTTGACAACTGAACAAAAATCAACAAATATGCAGATTTCATTAGTCCGTGTGGTGTCAGATCCAACTTGAAATGGAAGTCCTCCGGCTCTTTGGCAGCCACTGCAAAACGACGGGTTGCAGCAATAAAGGGGGGCAACCTGATAGCCACAGGGTCTGTGCAATGAAACTGGGTTCTGTAAATTTTGTCGGGCAATCGATAAAACTATGTTCAGGATACAGATTTACGTATTGTATATATACACATATAATCATATACATCCCGGCGGAAGGGAAACCGGGCGAGCGTTTTGATTGGTTGCTTCCAGGAGAGTCACAATCACCTGTAATTTACAATATAAAATGCTCTTCCGATCAGTTTGTATAACTGAATTTGGGTTAAAAAAAGTGGATGCAAAATCTATTGATTTTTAACAAATCCAGGTATGAGTATTCCTCTGTAAACAATCCCAGAGATCTCAGCAGCGTAGCAACATGTTACGTAGTAAACGAACCCAGAGATCTCAGCAGCGTAGCAACATGTCACGTAGTAAACGATCCCAAGGATCTCAGCAGCGTAGCAACATGTCACCTAGTAAACGATCCCAAGGATCTCAGCAGCGTAGCAACATGTAACATAGTAAAAGATCCCAAGGATCTCAGCAGCGTAGCAACATGTCACCTAGTAAACGATCCCAAGGATCTCAGCAGCGTAGCAACATGTAACATAGTAAAAGATCCCAGAGATCTCAGCAGCGTAGCAACATGTTACGTAGTAAACGAACCCAGAGATCTCAGCAGCGTAGCAACATGTCACGTAGTAAACGATCCCAAGGATCTCAGCAGCGTAGCAACATGTCACGTAGTAAACGATCACAAGGATCTCAGCAGCGTAGCAACATGTAACATGGTAAACGATCCCAGAGATCTCAGCAGCGTAGCAACATGTCACGTAGTAAACGATAGCAGCGTAGCAACATGTAACGTAGTAAAAGATCCCAGAGATCTCAGCAGCGTAGCAACATGTCACGTAGTAAACGATCCCAAGGATCTCAGCAGCGTAGCAACATGTAACGTAGTAAAAGATCCCAGAGATCTCAGCAGCGTAGCAACATGTCACATAGTAAACGATCCCAGAGATCTTAGCAACATCGCAATATATCCTGTACGAAGTTTGAGGAACGTTAACATGCCCCCCCACCCCACCCCACCCCAACCCCAACCCACACTAACATGGCAATATATCATGTACGAAGTACAAGGAACGTTAACATGCCCCCCCACCCCACCCCACCCCAACCCCAAGACAAAGAGCAATACTCAAAAAAGAAGCAAAACGCACGTACGGTTTTCCTGCCGTAGGCATATACATAATCTTACAAATATGTATATATATATATATTTAAATAAACTGATAAACACAATATATACACTGTTACACACACACACACAATTGTATGAAACAATGTATACCACCATAATTACATGGCACTTTGAATTTTTGTTCACATCAAATTTGGGAATCAGGAACCAACCAAGGACTGGTCAAAAAAGAACAACTGCCAATCCAACACAACAGAATCTGGCAAATAATTCATGTTTAGACTTTGCGCCGATTCCGAACCTTGCTGTTGGTCGAAAAAATTGTCGCATGTTGGCCGCTGCCTGCAATGCAAGGAAAAAAACAAATTGTTATCTTGATTCTTACCAACGGGTTAAACCATCATCAACACACACAACCTGAAGTCTTGAAGATGCATGTGTCAGTTTTGCTTCAAATTGGGAAAAACTGCCAGCCTGCATGGTGCGAAGATGCCGAACCATTGGTTTCAACGACGTGGATTTAAAACAAACACCAAGTATGTTGCGATTGCGAACCCCAAGCGACTGTAGGTTTGTGTCAAAATCATTAATTTCACTGCCAAATTCGAACAACATCAAAACATCATGCCGTTTTTGTACCCTGTGACCCCCCTTGACCTGGAAAAACAGCTGCAGCGTGGTTGGGGTCGCAACAATGTATAGATTTTTTTTGTTCCCGGCGTTCCACAACCACCAATGTGTTTGGTAGAAAAAAACCGTATTGTTTTTCAGACCCGCCAGTTTCCCACGTAAACATGCACCGAAAAAAATGGGATGCGTGAAAAAAAACATTGGTTTGAATTTGCAAAGGTCGCACACGCATTTGAGTGACACTCTATTTGGGTTGCTGTCGGGTGGAATATAACATTTACCTGCATTTGCACACGCGTTTGATGTTAAGTTGAAGGCAACGGGCATTTGAGCTGCCAATACTTCCGTATCAGTATGATTTTTTTCGAAATGTATGTCGTTATTTCTCTGTTAAAAACATGTGTAAACTGTTTTTCATGTGATATCTATCTATCCATCTATTTACCTCTCTATTTACCTATCTATCTATCTATCTACCTACCTACCTATCTATCTATTTATTTACCTATTTTTCTATCCATCTACTTTTCTACCGTTCTATCTTTCTATCCCGCCATTTTTTTTCAATCCATCAATCAATCAATCAATCAATCAGTCAGTCAATCAACCAATCAATCAATCAGTCAATCAATCAGTCAATCAGTCAATCAGTAATTCAATCAATCATTCAATCAAGCAATCAACCAATCAATAAATCAATCCATCGATCAATCAATCAACGAAACTATCTATATATATATATTTCTCTCTCTCTCTATCTATCTATCTATCTATCTATCTATCTGTCTATCTATCTATCTATCTATCTACCTAATCAAACTATCAATCTATCAATCTATCAATCTATCAACCAATCAATCTATCTATCAATCTATCTATCTATCTGTCTATCTATCTATCTACCTATCTATCTACCTATCTATCTCTCTATCTATCTACCTATCTATCTATTTATCTAACATCTATCGATCTATCTATCTATCTAATCTATCTAATCAATCTATCAATCTATCAGTCTACCAATCTATCAATCAATCAATCTATCTATCTATCTATTGATCTATCTATCTATCTATCTATCTATCTATCTATCTATCTATTGATCTATCTATCTATCTATCTGTCTATCTATCTATCTATTTATCTATCTACCTAATCAATCTATCAATCTATCAATCCATCAATCTATCACTCTATCTATCTATCTATCTCTCTATACACCTATCTATCTATCTATCTATCTACCTATCTATCTATTTATCTAACATCTATCGATCTATCTATCTATTGATCCATCTATCTATCTATATATCTATCTATCTTTCTATCTATCTATCTATCTATCCATCTATCTATCTATCTATCTATCTATTGATCTATCTATCTATCTATCTACCTACATACATACATACATACATACATTACAGACATTACATACATACATACATACATACATACATACATACATACACACAGACATACATACATACATACATACATACCGACCTACCTACCTACCTACATACCTACATACATACATACATTACATACATACATACATACATTACATTACATTACATTACAATACATACATACATACACACATACAAACATACATACATACATACATACATACGCCCATACCATACCATACCATACCATACCATACATACAAAACATACACACCATACATACATACATACATACATACATACATACATACATACATACATACATACATACATACATACATA